AAATCATTTGTGGAAAAAGGCATTAACTAAGTAAATAAATGACACCCCCAGACAGCTGCACAAGCTGATCATCACCCAATGCGTAGAATGTCCTTCAGAAAACCAAATTTGTATTTCTGAGATTTGTTGAAATGTTAAAAGACACAGAACATGGCCATCTGCATGGCAGATGTGCTCTGAAAACTGTGAATAATAATGTATAGAGCTACACAGATTATAATAGACAATCTGACTGCTATGTAAAGATTTTCAACCCCCACATAATATTCAAAAAAAACAAAGCATCAGTTTGTCATGTCTCCTGTACAGAGAATGAGTGATTTTAAATTCAGGATAGTGTGTGTATTTATATTTATGCGTTATTTAATATATATATGCATATGTAAGTATAAAACCCATTGCTGTCAAGACAATTTTAACTCATAGTGACACTGTAGGACAGAGTAAAACTGCCCCATAGGGTTTCCAAAGTTGTAATCTTTGATTCAAACCACTGACCTTCTGTTTAGCAACCTAGCACTTAACCACTGTGCCACCAGGGCTTATGTACACACACACACACACACACACACACACACATATGTATATGTATATTTCTATTGGTATATAAACAAAGAGAAAATGAAATAGATGCTAGTCTCCTAACTTTTCTTAATCTTTTTGGATGCTCCTACTCTCTTCTGCTTGTTTATATTGAGTACAGGACTTCTTGAATGGGGCATTTTCAATCTCATCAGGCTTCCCATATCAGCACATAATGGCTTACTTTCTTTTTTCTCAACTATTTCTTTTATGTTAACTTTAAATATTCCAAAACTCAGCCTATATATGAATAGGCCCAGCATCTGAGTGGTAGATTGCGCATAAACCAGCCTAATTACTGATCCCTTTTAGTATTGCTTTTTTACATTTGTGCATCTTATGTGGATGCTTGTTTATTCTGGTAGAGGAAATGAGCAGAAAAATTATTTGCTAATATGTTTGACGTAAATATAAATCTGTGGAAGTTTATACAATATACAAATGCAAAACTGATAACTTTGGCTTCTTTACCAATGTGCGCTGCCTAAGCCTACACATCTTCCAATGTCAACAACTAAATACACATTCTCAGTGTTGGGGGAATAAAGTCTTTAGCTTTTACTGAAATTGTGAACGAGAGATGGCACCATGAATAAAATAACATGCTAAAATCTACTACTGTTGCTCTAATAATTTCCATTTAATTTTCATAGGACAGAGTAGGGTTTCTCCATAGGGTTTCCCCATAGGGTTTCCAAGGCTGTAAATCTTTACAAAAGCAGACTGCACATCTTTCTCCCCTGGAGCGGCTGTAGATTCAAACCATCAACCTTTCCATTAGCAGCCGAGCACTTAACAGTTGTGCCACAGGGCTCCTTTCAAGGGACCTAATTTTTTTTTTTAAAGAGCTTAGGATTCTATTTAGAGATCATTTGAACCTCTATATGCTGTATTGTAGAAATTGTAAGGTTTTTTTTTTTCCTCTTCCCATAGCTAGGTAATTGTTTCTCTTTTATTTTCCATTCAAGAATATCAACTAATAGAATTTATTGTAGATACATATTTCTACTTGCAATTTAAAGGAATAATAAAAAAAAAATCTAGGCACATAAATTCTATTTGGGGGAATTGTGTAGAGGACCCCAAAAATCAGCTCAAATACTAAAATGAGAGTGATTGAAATGGAATTACTTTTTGGATTAGACTTAAATTGCAATCATAATCAAATGCATAGTAAGTCCTTTCCAATGTAGTCTAACTATCATCTTTCATTAACTTTGTCACCAAGTGTAATTATTTTAAGGCAATCACAGAAATGCAATGTAGCGTTTATTTTAAATGAGTAAATATTAGTCATTCTACCTATTTAAAACAGATTTCTAAATGGCAAAAAAAAAAAGATATGAATTTGTGTCATTGACAAAGAAGAAAAGCATTAATTGATGATAATATAGTAATGCACCATAGCACTTTTATGTTGCCTTTTTAGTAGTTTTAGAAAATATTTGGACAGTAGGGGAAAATACAGGGGTTTTTTTTGTTTGTTTTTTTCATAGACTAGGTCTTTACATTTGCAAACATGTCTTTGGACTACACTGAATATTACATTGAAAGAAGTGAAATATTACATTGAAAGAAGTGAAGCCCTTCAAACTATTGCAAACTACTTCTGTCAGACAGATATTTCTAGAAATTTAATTTTGAATAAAAATGGGGACATTAGAAAATGTTGTTTAGATTTAGAGAATATTATGCTTTATTTTTCACCTTGACTGAAAACAGTCCATTTCTCCTTTGTTATTCTACCACTGCTATTCTATTACTTATGCGAAATCATCAGAATGGTTTCATTTATACCTTGGACCCCTGTATTCGAATGCCAAGTTGATTCCTTTTTTTTTTTTTAACGTATATAGATGACACTTCAAATTATATGTATAATCAAAATGAATCTCATGTTATCAAACCAGCAAGAAACTGTCAACATATTTCTATAAAATTTTTAATTTTCCAAAGGAATAAGATGTTATTTTGTAGTAAAAATGTGGTCTTGTCACATTATCTGGTAAGAAGGTTGTAAAGTTTTTGGAATTTTTTTTTTTTTTTACAATTTAATAACTGTGATATGAGATCAAAGATATAGGTTTGAAAGTTTTATAAATTGTTTTGAAAAAGTCCTACTTATTCTATCAAAATGTTTCCCTCATCCAATTAGAACATTTGTCTTATAAAATGCATATAAAATGGGCTAGCACAATTGATTGAGTAGGAAAAGTTGCTGCTATTTTTCTCAGCACTCTTTCCACTCACTTTTTTTGTAATGCCTGCTTCCCTTGGCTTCCAGATTATTCATTGATCCCAAGATGTTCAACATTCTGGCATATGCTCTGAACTCTCCTTGTATCTCCTATTCCTTTCCCACAACACTGATTTTCTTGCCTCTGGTTCTAGTACTTCAGGATCCTGCTTTAAAATGAATTTGGCCCAAAAGTATATCCTACCTCAATAAGTAGACTGAAAGAGATGGAAACATTTCCCCCCCCAAATTCCACAGATAGCTATTCTTCAAGGTATTGTTTTGATTTTTTAATTGAACTCTATGGCCAAGTTATTTCATTTGGCAATGAAACCCTGTGATCAAATACTTTAAGTTTGTTTTATTAGATATCTAGAACCATTATTGTCATCCAATTTTAGTATTTCATAATTAAAAAATTAAAGTATAGCTATATAAGAATGAGTTAATTTTTATAAGGGAAAAAATTGTCTTTTGAGACAGGGATTACATAAAAAAATAAAATAAAATAAAACTGTAGGCTTGGAAGCCATTTAGTTATCTAACATTTTCACTAAACCAACTCTCCAATGTTCTTAGTGTTCTTATGTGTATATATTTAACCATCTCCTCTTACTACATTCTCAGCTCCTTTTGAGCTGCAGAATGCCAAAGTTTGCCTTTAAAGCCAACAAGAGGGCAGACTTTATAATTAACTAAGTATTTTGTACTTATAGTTTATTTCTTTAATCATAATTATTTTTTCTAAATCAGAAGTTGCAAACTGGCATGCTTCTTGGACCAGTGGATGTGTTTTGTTTGGCCCGTTCATAGTTTAATTTTCCAAATCACTTGCCACCCTTAGAATCCAGAGAGTTCTTACGAAACTGGAATTTTAGAAGACCTAGTACCAATTGGTCCATAATCCACTATAGAAAACACTTGCTGGGGTTGAGGAGCAGCAACCACTTAGAGAGAGCATGCGTTCGCCTGTTTGCTGCCATTCCCATCAGGCTTGCTCCACTGATTTACATTACGTGGTGATCCCTTTTGGCATTTGGGCCAAATTTGAAGCTCCTGAAACAGAAGTTTATGAACCATACGCCCCCTTTTTTTTTTCTCGAACTGTCTTTCCATGAAGGAATCCCATTCAAAAATAAACAAATCTCAGAAAAAAAAGAAGTCACACAGTATATATTTATTCCTAGAATTTTTTCACTTTTATATTTATTGTGACAGTGCTGCAATGAAGGAAGGAAAGTATAAAATGCAAGCACAACAGTAAGAAGCACCATATTCTGCCTTGGGGTGGGGAATGCTACGGAAGGAAATGTTTTAGGAGAAGGTGACGTCTAATTAAGTCGGAATTTAACCAATGAGTAGGATTCCCTCTCAGGCTTGAAGAATGGGAATGAAGGATTATGAACCATATTTTTGGATGTAGGAACAGATTTTGCAAAGACCTAGAGGTAAGCAAAATAGCAGTGTTTCTGTGGTGGAGAGGGATAAGAGTTAAAGAGAGATCTATAGACAGAATTTCAAATCATAGTCTTGTATACCACTTCATTTTATTTTTTCTTCCATCCTAAATGAAAAGATGTGACCATCTCTTCAAACTCTGCCGTGTAACTGTTTTCTACTTAACCAATATTTAAGCACTAAAGAGACTCCCAGCTTTCTGTATCCTCTGGTAGAAGGGCATCTGTTGTCCCCAACTTTTCCTCTTCCTTAAACTCGTCTCTTGCCTGTAATTACAACCCTGACTTTCACTGATCTCTCTGCAGTGTTTTTTTATTTTAAAGTAAAGAATCTAACTTCTTCATACGATTTAAATCCTAGCTTGTTGATAACTTAATGCATCAAGATTTTTTGTTTTTTTTTTTTAGAGGAGAAACATCAGGTGCATTGTCTCCATAGGAGCTAAGATGCTAATGGTTGTAAATGGGTGCAAATGTGCTTCACTCTGCACCAGGGTGTTCTATTTCTTTACCAAAGCAAGGAACATGAGGTTGGAAATTTCAGGCTTTACAAGAGCCTCTATGGAAGATTTGCAAGGGGTCTTTTGAAATACTTCAGGTTGGGGATTGTGAGCAGCTGCCTACTCTTCCTTTGTGTAAAAAATGGCTGGTTTTTGTGCTGAAACACTTTTGGTGTGCAGCTGATGAAGTGAGAACTGACAGTTTTTCTTTTATTTTTCTTTCAGCTCACTCCAGTTGGCACCACGGTATTTACAGGATTTTCAGGAGACAATGGAGCTACAGACATAGATGATGGCCCCAATGGACAGATAGAATATGTTATCCAATATAATCCAGATGATCCGGTATGTAAATGCCTATTTGCAATGTGGCTTCACTACAAGGAATAAAATCAACGTTTATTTCAGCTGATGTTTATTGTATGACTCTTTTTTAGCTCCTTGGAGTCACATTAGTAATGATATTATTGTTAAAGTTATCTCAATATTGCATTTTTAAAAAATCGTGTGCTGTGGTTTTGAAAACTAATTTGTTATTGGCATTTGCAGCTTTAAATATATTTATAGGTTTAACATGTCTTTTTTACTAAATTCCTGTTGTGTTTGTGGATTCCTATATATTCTAATCCTAACAATGAAGATGATATAACCAGTGTAATACATATGCCTTATGGAACTTGCAAATTAATACAACCACCTGCACTTCTCCACAAAAACACACTTAGAAACATATTTCTGGTGATGACAAATCCCAACAATCCCAGCAATCTCATTAAAGGAAGTTAAAGTAGGTAGAGATCAAAAGTTTTAGCTATAGGCCTTTTTCTTCTTTTCTTTTTTTTTTGCCTTAGGTCCTGGTTCTCTGACTCTTTTTTTAAGCTGTTAAGCAATTTCACAAGTGGAATATACATAAAAAAGATAAAATCAGAATTCTTTGGTTGAAGCTAGATCTGGTAGCTCTATCTTCCATTCTCTCTTTCCCTTCCCTGGAGGCAGCTTCTCAGAATACTGTGGGCTCCCCAAGGCAGAATTTTAAAATCATTTATTAAGTGAATGATCTAATTTAATGCCTCTCTTTAATGTGAAATACTAAGAATATAAAATATGGTGCAGTTAATATTGTTTTCATTTTTAACCTTTCACGTTCCTTATATAAACTTTAAACAAGCAAACCCACAATTCAACCAACCAACCAACAAACAAAAAAACCTCTGTTAAACTTGTAGGGACTGAATTATTAACTAGTAACAAGATCTACCTCACAAATTTATTGTGAGAATTAAGTGAATTGTGAATGCATTTTCTCGTTTTATTCTCACAAATCAGTTCATTAGTAGGAGTATCTTTATTATATAGATGAGAAAAAAAAAGACTCCTGGATGAAAGGATGTGCTTGATATTACATTAAAAAAAAAAAAAAAAAGTAACTGTCAAGTCAACTCTAACTCACGCCAACTCCTTGTGTGTCACAACTGTTAGGGTTCTTAAAGGCTGATGTTTTGGAAGTAAATCAGCATGCCTTTCTTTAGAGGCGCCTCTGGATGGGCTAGAACCTCCAACCTTATGATTTAGTAGCCAAACACTTTAACAGTTTCCACCACCGAGGGAGCCACTTCTAAAATGTAGAGTCAGGATTCAAACATAGTCCAACTTGAGAGTAGCATGCACTGTACTCTTCCTCTATTGTGTTGTAAGAGCTCAGCTGCTGACTAAAAGGTTGACAGTTCAAATCCACCAGCCGTTCCTTGGAAACCCTGTGGGGGAGTTCTACTCTGTTTATAGGGTCACTATGAGTTAGAATTGACTTGACGGCAGTGGGGTATGGGTGGTAATTAAAAAAAGAAAAAAAATAGAAAAAAAAAAGCAAGGACATAGCTGAGACAAATGTTTATGTTGTCTGTTTATCTGCTTTTTTGCTAATACAGTAGGTCTCAACATGTTTATAGGCAGAGGCAATGAAACCAAGAGATGGAGAGAGAATGAGAATGACAGGGAAGACAGACAGTAAGAATGATAGGATTACACAGGAATTGGAGTGGAAAGGATCAAACCAACAGCATAGGAGAAAAGGACAAGAGAAACTTTTTTGCCTGAAAGTAAAAAAAGACAGCTGACTGCACATTCTGCTTCTGAACCATTTATTTTATTTGCTATTACGGTTTCTTTAAGTATTAATTGTATGTGTGTGCCATGTTCTTACCTTATATTTTATGAAGGTCATTTCCTAATCTTTACTCCCCAAGTTATAAAAAAAGAAACCTCCCAGCAAGTATAGAATAGCCAGGCCATGTATTTTAGAGAAATATTTATTGCATTGCATAAAATAAAATAAAATAAAAAATTATTTAACGTTTATATATAGTATAAGACAAAAATATATTACTTAGAAGCTATCTTTTCAAAGTTTTATGGGGTTGAAATTTATTGCTAGCTGTGTAGTAGTCTGTCTGAATATCTCCCCCTTTTGGGGATTTGTGGGCCTATCATTAAATGTAATATGTACCTTTTACTACCTACTGAACGGATAAGCCAATCAGCCACATGCAGTTTCCAAATAACAAGAAAAGAAAAATGTATTTTAGCAAGCCAACACTGCTGTGCAATAAATAAAGACGTTCTCTGGTCATAGTCCTAATTCAGTGAGGCAAAAGAATAAGACATCATGACAGCACTTAGTGTAGGATATACTGCAGGAGAAAGCATTAACTAAGTCACTTCCTTAGGGAGAGAATCCATCTTGAGCCATCACAGAGACTTAGTTTAAAGCTTAGTACCAGTTTCTTCTCTTATAACATCTGCTAGAGAAATACCTGATGATTTTTATATTCTACCACTGTTAAATCTCTAGAAATTCTTCTCATATTAATAGCATTATAGTGTTTTCCTGCTTATTTCTTAATCTCACGACAAATTTGTATGTACAGTGAACATAGTATTTAACATGAATGTGTGACCACCTCTGGTTTTTGTAGCCATAATTATATTTTCTTAACAAATGGCCTCACACTGTATGGTAAATTACAGAAAGTGTAGATTGTTCTGTTCTATTTAAAATTCACAGTTATTATTATTATTTTCTATCTCATGCCACAGGATTCATTAGCAGAAGTCACAAACTAGTGATCTAGAGTTTTGTTTAACCCACAGGTACTTTGACTAGAAATTGTTTGAACCAATATCTAAAAGTCAAGATATTCGCGTTCAAATCTAGATTTATGTCTTCTGTTAACATTTATGTTATGCCATTTGTTTTGGGGTTTTGTTCCTGCGTAATCACCTATCCTTTCTTGATTGGTATATTTAAAAAAATGATTAACAATTAATAAATACCCATTAATAACTATCATAGACTCTAGACTACAAGAATATATACCATGCTAATCTTTTTTTTTTTTTTTATGTTAAGCCATTACTTTTGGAGTGTTTGTTCCTACAGCATATTTTATCCTTTCTTGGTGATACATTTAGAAAAATAATAATAATTTAATAAATCCCTCATTATTAAGGTCGTCTAGACTATGGACTAAAAGAATTTGTATTATGCTCATTATAGTTTTTGTGAAATACTGTTTTGAGTGCCCTCATACTAATACAAAGAAAAGCCATCTGAACTAATGAGATTGTTTAAAAGAAAAAGACCCTTTGAAGTGGGTCAGAGTTTTTCATCATGTGCTCTGCAGAAACTTTCAGTTTTGAGCTATCCTTTATGCAAAAATGAAATTATAAAGTAGGTATCATTCTGAATGTTCTAAATCCCAGTTGTTAGTGAGCTTAATAAGTCTATTCATACAATAGGTTATCACATTGCATTTCTTATCTTAATCCTTTTCATTAATGCCAGACGAGTGATGTTTATTCACCAGTGTTAAGTGTTTTGACTTAAAGTAATAAGGAAGGAACTGATAGCATGTCCGTTGTAGTAGGAGAACAGCTGCTGCTATTAACTATACCTGCCACTCGGAAAAACACTGAGGACATTTAAGCAGTATGTATGGGCAGTTTCTTTCTTGGATGTATTAGAGGGTGTTTTGGTGGGTGATAACGTGTTTTATCAACTCCTCCTCAGTAGACTGTCCTTCCTTTGTAATGTTTGGCTTCCTATATCTTTAAGGGAAATGAGAAAAAAATGAGGTATAATTTCTTTTGCAGTGGGTAGGCTTGTAATGCATTTGAATTTCCTGAGTCAGGAAGTTCAAACCACTGTTCAAATGCAAAAAGATTTTTAACAAATCACCATCCAGAAGTAGTTTAGTGTATAAGTCAAAGCCCAACTTTTAGATGCTATTAAAGTATTTCAAGCTAAGCAAAAACTGTTATTGCTTATTCTTAAGTAGGTTACTAAGAGCATTATTTTATACTTAAATAATGCATTATAGGGTGCATTGTAACATGAGAGCCTTAGGCTCATAAAGTCATAATATTTTTTTATCTTGCAATGCCACTGAGGTTTAATTAAGTTATTGTCTAAAGTACTGCTTTGTGTAAAAATGTGAACCCAGATATTCGCAATTCAAGTCCACCTTTTAACTCCACATACACATGCCTCTGAAGCCAACCAGGCACTTCGAAATATAATTTCCTAAGAAATTGATTAGAAAAAGGTGGAATGAGCTCCATTGCACTCTTTAATGCATCTTTAAATGTGCGTGTATGTGTTTCTGTATGAGGGAAAGGGAGGAGTTAAGTTGATGTGAAACAGAAAACATAATCAAAGTGTTGATAGTTTCTACTGGGAACAGATTTAACATTACCAGCAAAACCTTTAGTTCCTCTTGAGTGGACAAGGATCACTTAACTCTGCTTAGCCCTCTACTTCTCACTTTAGGTAATTCCGTTAGAGGTAGTGTGGTGGTTAAGAGCTATGGTGGGCTACAGCTGCTAACCAAACGGTAGGCAGTTTGCAACCACCAGCTGCTCCTTGGAAACCTATGGAGCAGCTCTACCCTGTACTATAGGGTTACTATTGGTCGACATCGACGGCAACAGGTTGGGTTTTGTTTTGGTTTAGTCTCCCAAACAAGGGCAACCAACCTATAGATTGATTAGCAGCTGATGGCATGGTGGTCTGACTTAGGCAGAGACAAGTTTAAGGCTGATTGGATTCTACCTCTGGGATTTTGTAACAGTGACCGATTAGGACACAGAATTGGTGCTGGTTATTGAAACTAACAGATAAAAAGTCACAATCATGTACAAGAAGAGAAAACAGGAGAAGATGAGAGAAAGTGAGAGACACTTATTTTAAAAAGATGTAAAAAAAGAAAACAACAAGAGATCTTATAGCTCCCTGAGAGACAGAATGAGAAGCCTTGTTAACTAAATTCCTACTACTTCCCCATTGCAGGCCCACTCCTAGATCACTCTCATATATATATATATATATATATATGTATACCTTAGTTTCTTAGTACAGCTGTAACAAAAATACCGTAAGTGGGTGGTTTTAAAGAACAGAGCTTTATTTTCTCACAGTTCAGGAGTTTAGAAGTCCGTATTCAGGGTACCAGCTCTTGGGAAAGGCTCTCTCTTTGTCCCCCCTGAAGAAAAATCCTTCTCTCAGTTTCTCTAGCCCTGGTCTTCTTTGGTTGCTTGGAGATCTTCACCTGGCATCTATCTTCACCCCATTTGTGCTTGCTTCTGTCCGCATCTAATCTGCTCTTTTTATATCTCAAAAATCATTAGGTTTAAGACGTGCCCTACACTGATACGGCTTCCTTAATATAACAATGATAACCTTGTTCCCAAATGGGATAATAGAATTACATCCACAGATACAGGGGTTAGCATTGCAACACATATTTGGGGGGAAGACAATCCAATCCATAACAGAGAGAAAAAAACAGAATTTCTGGGAAAACAGAATTGATAGAGGGTCAACATCCCTTCTGCCTCCCTTTCATACGTGTGTGCAGTATATGTGCTTGAGGGTGGACACATCCCAACCTGTTCCCCATTCTTACAACAGGGATAAAACTGTTTAAACCATCCTACCTCCTCATTTTACTTAAGTAGAGAACTATCACTTTTTTTGACAGTTACTGAGTAATTAAATTCTCCAGGTAGTTGTGGACTATGCCACTCTTGGTGGATTAAAAGGAATTTTTCTATTATCAAAGATGGAGGCTGCATATTTGGCGCCTGTGAGTATTAAGGGGCTTGGCCACAGTTAGATTTCCCTCATTAGTATTGCACAGATAGAGGTTAGCATTTAAATTCCTGTCACACAAAGAAACCAGTGCCACTTAGGGTTTTACAGAGAAGTGTCCATAACTATCCGTAAAGCAATGGCTTTGCTTCCAGAAATTTAGGGTAACTTAAGGAAATGGATGTTGCTCTTCTCCCACAGCTCTCTGCTTTGTTGGTGGACCTAAACTCTTAAGGATGAGAGAAGAGGAAGACAAATGGTAGGGAGAAAGAGGGTGAAGAAGGCTCTACTTTCCTTCTACCTCAAACAGCTATTTAACAAGAGTATAAGACTGAGAAAATCACTGAGCTATTTAAATAACCAAGAATTATTGAAAAGTTATTGGATTTTACTGACATATTATTTAATAATATGAGAGTCAGAAGGATTATATAAAGTACAGTTTTTAGTACTTACTGGAAAAAATGAGTATGTTTAATGGTTATTACCACATTGAGTTGAGAATCCTCACTCAAAGTCTGTTTAAAAGTTCATTCTCATCTGACATCAGTTGGCTAACTTATCTAGCTACAAAATAATGAAAAACTAAAATAATTATGTATCCTTAAAATATATTATAGAAGTTATTGTTGAGTTGAGTTTATATGCAACTGCCAAACTCTTGCTTATTTCTTTAACTTGCTGCTCCCTCTAGTCTAGTGTTTTTCAAAGTAAGATCTGAACCATCAGCATGAGAATCACGTGAAAGACTTGTTAGAAATGCAGACTTCTGTGAATTTCTGGAATATCTAGGAATGGATGCTGGGAATCTGCAATGTAAATCATACATTTCTGTGATCCTATGCATTCTGAAGTTTGAATATCATTGTGTCATTCTCTCAGTAGCCTTAGCATAAATAAAAAAAAAATTACTGTGGTTTCTTACTAAATTTAACTTTGATTTTATTTTCTTTCTCCTTAGGTAAAAACTTTAGAAATATTATTAGAGTAAGATGTGAACTTAGAGTTTACCTAATTCATTATTATTTTTACTAGACCAAAAAAAAAAAAAAGAGAGAGAGAGAATATCTTAAAGATATATACTCTTGTTTCTTCTGATTCTTCTCATGATTATTGTTCTACAATTGTAGAGACATAATAGATACTGAATGAGTAATTGTCTATTAATACATTGGTTAATTAATTAATGTAGAGGCTTTTCATATGCAACAATTCATAAGTAACACTAATCATTAACCAGATGTTCTCTTTATGTTTCTTGGAACAAAAGTGTTTATGAAAAATTTAGCAAAATGAAAATCTTAGATATTCTAAAGGATGGGTTAGCTAATAAGAATTAAGTTCAATTGAAAAGAGCTCTGAAGAGCAATGAAATTTGTACTACTGCATTGTTTGTAATAATTCAACAAGTGTTCAATGGAACTGTCAACTTAAATGAAAAATGATTTCAAACACTTATTGAATGTGTGGGGATATATGCCATTTAAACATGGCTATACTATTGACAACTTCAGCCCCTCAAAGGCCTCTATCCTGCATAGGACATGTTGAGACTTGTCAGCGATGAGGAGGAGATTAGGCACGACTTGTTTTCCCAAACCTATTGTCCCGTTACTGATTGGCTTGTTTACCTGAATTCCTTCTCCCTTGCCCGAAACTTATTGTTATTCACCCAAAGCCCATTGTTCTGTTATTTGCTTCACTGCGTGCTGTATTGACTATAAATAAACTCCTGGGACTGAAGCCGGGTCGACTCCTCTGAGTGACCCTCCTTGGCCCCACTTCTCTGTAAGAGTTGTGTTTTGCTACTGTCTTCACCGCCCCAACAATCGTCACCGCTGCGACATAATGAATATATTCTAAACCTCTGCTATATTCAGTTTGCTTTGCTGGAGATATAAAGATAAAGATCCCCATATCATAGACAGACACCCTTGAGCAATCTGTGAGGGGAGACAAAATTAAATAGAAGGCAGTAGAATAAATTTTGTTTGAAAAAAATAATGTAACATCAGAGCAAGGCTTAATCTTAAATTGAACAAAGAAAGCTTTTCTGTGTAGGAGTTGCAGAATTTTATATGGAGAGAAATGAGGAATAGAGTTTTCAGGCAGGAGAAAAATAAGAACAAAAGTCAGGTGTGATGATTCATGGCCTACAAAGGAAAGAGAGGGGACTACAATGTAAGGACAATAGACAGGAGATACTTAGGCATGAAAGTCTTTCAGCTGCAAATAATAGAAAATTGAAAGAAAAGTAACTTTAATAAGGCCATAATCATAACAAGTTTTTGAGAGACAAGGTGGTAGCAGGATTTCTTAGTTCAGTAAGTCAAAGACATCACTGATCCACGTTCATTTTCTACTCTGCCATCCTCAGCATGTTACTGTTACTTCCTTGTCCTGGTTACTTCTTTCTTAAAGTGTAAATGGAGTTCCTCGGTGGTGCAAAGGGTTAACATGGCTCTGCTGCTAACCAGAAGGTTAACGGTTAGAAGCCATCCAGAGGCACCTCAGAAGAATGGCCTGGTGATCCACTTCCAAAAAATCAGCCATTGAAACCCTATGGAGCACAGTTCTACTCTGACACACACTGGGTTACGATGAGACGGAATCAACTGGACAGCAGCTGGTTTAAAGTGTGAATACATTGCCCTTCGCTTTAGGATTGCCTTGTATGGTCTACAGGTTACCGAGAAGAAATTCAATTCCAGAGAGGGTAGAGTAAAATTTAACTAATGAGCAGCATTGCTGCTGGGGCCTAAAAGAAATGTAACCTCTAGCCCAGAGTCCTTTTCACAAAATCAGTTTCAAGTTTATATTTGTATTTAATGCTTGAAAATACTTGAATATAGAATGGGCACCAATGTTGAAAAGGGATATTATGTAGAAATCACAGATTATTGTTTGAATATTTGGTGTTAAAAAATGATGAAAAGATAATATGATAATGGAGAAGATTTTCAGATACCTTGACTTTGATTTAGCAATATCTCAGGGCAGTTGATGACTCACGCTAATAACAAATACGTTTCCTGCTTATTATTATCAGAGGACGCTCATGAAACCCTCTCGTGAAACATTTTGAGAAATGATAAGAATATTCATTCTGAAACTTACAATCACATTCTATTTTCAGACAATAAGCATGCTATCTATAACTTTCAAGGGACTAAATGAACAATATCGAGTTCTCTGTCTAATTTATCTTATATTCAGATTATCTAAAGTCTATATCCTTAAATATTTGCAGACGTCCAACGACACCTTTGAAATTCCCCTCATGCTGACGGGAAATGTAATGTTAAGGAAGAGGCTCAACTATGAAGATAAGACTCGCTACTTTGTCATCATCCAAGCTAATGTGAGTATTCAGTTTCTCTAATGTTATGCCTGTGAGTTTATGAACTAAAGAACTCGTCCAAAATGTAATGAGTGTTCTTAGAGTTCTTGGTGTAATTTTTGCCCTTAACAGGTCACCTCTGTCCTCAGTGGAATTTGCATTTTATGTTCTTCTAGATGGTGGATAGGATGGGCTGGGATGGGGAGATGTTTTCCACTTGTTATATCCTCACTCTCTGAATCCCTCATATGTATTGCCCACTCTCCAATCACTTGTTCTTGCCACATACCATTATCTATAGCTTCATGTTTATAGGGATAATGATAGCCATGTCTCTATAATATCTTTCTAATTATTATTATTTTAATTTCTCTTTGTTTTTTATTCTTTTGTATGTAAAATGATGTATAATGTAAATGATGTACATTAAAACAAACAAACAAAAGAACCAAACTCATTGCCGATGAGTCAATTCCAATTCATAGTGACCTTATAAGACAGAGTAGAGCTGCCACATAGACATTCCAAGGAGCAGCTGGTGGATTGGAACTGCTGACCTTTTGGTTAGCAGCTGAATGCTTTAACCACTGCGTCACTGAGGCTCCAAACAACTTACATTAGAAACCCACATATTCTCCTGGAATCATAAGGAGACTTGAAATATAAGCAATCAACGTTGACTTTAAAGTAGTTGGTATCTAAGAGGCTAATTAGAGGGCTGAGGATAAATTATTGAACATTACTCAGCTTTGACCTCCCTGCTTATGGCACGAAGAGTTGATTGATTTTCAAAAGGAACCCTTTAAATTACATGCATTTGGATGGTTTCTTTTTATCAGTGTGAACATGCTATGATTCTTAATTAAGCTGAATGAGTTTTGATTAATACACATTACAAAACACATTACAAAACTGACCATTTAGATTTGTAAAAATGCTTGCAACATTATTACCCACACTGATTATTTTAATATGACTATACAGTGGGGAAATGATTAATTAAAAAAAAAAAAAGAGGAAACGCAATCTAATAAAAGGAAGTTCAAGGAAATATAAAGATCAATAGATTTTACTTTCGTTGAAAATTTCGATATATCTTTTTACCATTAGGTAACTGAATTAATGCCAGCATATTCAGGGCAAGTCTAATAATGTTGCTTTTTTTTTTCTTTCTATGCTGCAAATGCCCGATAAAGTAATGGAATAGTATTTAATGTCTGTATCTATGAGGGAGTCTGGTAGGTGCTGCTGGCCATTTTGTAAAAATACAAACTTGAACACTTGAATACTGAATATTTAAATTTTGGAAGTCTGTTTATTCCAAGGCTCTTATGACATTGCCACAAAAATAAATCAGAACATTGGCATGTCTGTCTCATACTCATTTTTTAAAACTAGTTTTATATAATTTCAGGTTATGTGTTAAAGGCCACATCTCTCCTGCCCCCACTACACACAACCAATACTTGCTTAATACACTGCTAAATATAGCAAATACTAAATGAATAGATGTTAGCATTTTTCAGTAGTTTGATCAAAGAATGGTTGATAATCAAAATATTTTACTGCAAGGAGTATTTGATGAAAATGTACAAACTGAAGTCCCACTTATTTTCTGACAGTGGAAATTGTCTTTTTTGTCTTAACGTTATCACATTTGAATTATTTGTAATTTTATTAAAAATTGGCTTTATAGAAAGACTGGTTCATGACAATGAGGTATTCATCTCTGAGTTATTTACAAAAAGTAGCTTTTCTTTGATGATCTAATAGGTGCCTATCTTTAGAATATATAGTTCTTAGTAATGTATTGATGCATTAGTAAATAATTTAGTAAATAATTAGTAAATAGTTATTACTGTTTAGTAAATAATTCATTCAAAAATATGTGAGTGCCTTTGCTATGTCAGATACCACATTAAAATATGACTCTGAAGAATTTTATGTTGCATTGCTGTCATATGGGGTGATAGGATTGGATGTCTTGCATAAAGATGCTAAGGATTCAGGGACCAGATCAGTACCACTTCCCCTGTGAGACATCAACATAATTCTCTTGGTAGGTCACATTCTTCCATGAATATACTTTATGGCTTTTTTATTCTGTGTTGAAGATATGTTTATAGTTTAATCCCCTGTATGCTGATTTTTATGCAGGATTATTTTTTGTGTCACCTGCAATTTCTTCCTTACAGCTGTATCACAATTTTCAAATAAATTGTGAAATATTTTTTTAAATGGAAGTTAATTAGAGATTTCATTTTACTAAATGCTTAATGTTAGGAAATATACAGTAAAACCTGTGAAAGCCGGCACCTATAAGACAGAAACCTGTAAGAGAAGGGAAACTCAAATCTTTTCCACTATTAGAGAGCAACAGAAAAGTGGTAAGACTGCACCCTGTCAAAGGTGGCAAACTTGCGAGATCTGTAAAAACAAGGCAGCCTCGTCGAATTCCAGCTCTCACAGGTTTCACTGTATTTGAAATAATAATGTATGATGAGAAAATACCAATTAAATGTTAAACTTGGATAACTTCTTTAAAAAAGTATTCATCCTTGGCAATTATAATCATCTAGTCTGTAAATTAATTAAGTTTTATTTTCTTTAAATAAAAAGGGAAAAAAGAAGAAAAATGTGGAGAGAAAATAGAAGGGAAGAAGGACAGAACATTTCTTGATAGCTTTTAATATATAGTAGATTCTAAAATAACAATGAATGAAAATGCAAAATTATTTTTGCAAATTATTTATAGAACTCACAATTTAAAATATTTTTTCTTATTCAGGAAAGTCTTGTAAAGTAGCATTTTACTAGAAAGAGCAAAAGTTGTTTTATATTTCTTTTTGCTTTTCTTGTTATTTTTTATTTACATTTCCAGGGGTTTTGTTAGAAAAGAATTTTTTTAGATAAAATCTGGTTCAAAACTAGGAGAAGAACATCATGGATTAACAACATCTTCCATAGGCTCGTGAGTTAGGGGTATACGTCTCATATTTTCATAACTTCCTTTATGTTATATGTTGGGAAAAATTATGGGAATCTTCACATGTGTAGAAACCATGTTGGTATTTTTCATTGTTACATCTTTGCTCTTACGAGGTTCTATCTTTTTTTTCCTCATAAAAATTCAAATTTTATAGACCAATACTTTGTAAGCAATATCTTTCTCCAACATGAGATTAAAGTCTACATTATGCATTTTGGTAAATACACACCCTTTCTCTTGTACTTTGACCATTCTATGGAATAGTGCCAAACCAAAAAAAGCAGAGAATAGTGAGTGATGTGTTGCTGATAGACTGAAAGAATGGTCTAAAATGGAAAACACTCATCTATTACAATAATTTTCAGGTGACATTTAAGATATAAGGCAGAATGACATGGGGGTGTAGAAATACTGCTTCTGGCTTTTCCATATTTAAAATATTATTATTATTTTTTTTTGCCACATCCACATATCACATAAAAATGTTTATTTAATATTTTTCCTTAAATTAAATTTAAATCAATTCAGGATTTTTTTTCACTTTGTCTTAAGTAATCATGCTTTTATAATGGCAATTTGATGAGCTAGTTGTATTTTTCAGAAATTTCAAGTCAGCGCATATATTAAAGTTAAAATTCAGTGGTGCAAAATTTAAAATAAACCCATAAAGTAAAGTTAAATATAAGTGGTTAAGCGCTCAAATACTATCTGAAAGTTTGGTTATTTAAACCTACCCAGAGGCGCTTTGAAAGACAAATCTGGTGATCTGCTTCCAGAAGGTTACAGTCTTGAAAACCCTACGGAGCAGGTATACTCTGCACTCATGGGACCAGCCACGAGTAAAAACTGACTGGACGGCAACTAACAACAACAACGATATATGTAAAAATCCATACATGGAAAGTTTATTTGTGAACCACCAAAATCTTCTCATATCCCACTTACTGCTCCGATTATACATACGATTCTTCTAGATACAATAAATAGAGATGGAAAGTTCTGAACAATTTTGGAAGGAGAATTTAAAAAAAAAATCTCTATTACCCATAAATTTAATCAATCATAATTATCAGTGAATTTTGCAGGGGTTGTTCTTGGTTTTATTTATACTTTGAAAATGTAGACATTTGATCACAATCCATCTTATAATGGAAGAAAACATGAAAGACTACTCGAGCCACAAAGTTAGTACATTCCAGATAAGTTGTCTGCATTTGCAAAATTCTACCAATACAGACTTTTACTCTTTGAGAGCTTACATTAGAGCCGTTCTTTGCAACTTTTTTTGAACAACCAGATTGGGAAAGAGTATAAGTGGAATGTAGTATCACATAAAGTTTAAGAAAGTAGACTTTTTTTTTTTAAATTGTTAAGCAAATATTAACGTCTGGCAACCATCAACGGAAAGAATTTTACGAACAACATAAAGCAAAACACCAATCTGTTAGCAGAATTACATTTCAGAGTGGTAAAGAATAGAATTTTAAAGAGACAGAAAAATGCAAGAATGATTCTTCAAGATAATTACTAAGTACTAAGAAAGTAAAGACATTTCCAAATTCTACCATAATGTTTCTCTTTAGATAAATACAATCAATGCAAATTTCTGTTAAAATTACTTCCCACTCCTTACGTGTGGGCTGCACATAGTGATTTCCTTTCAAAGAAATGCAAAGGAAGAAAAGAAAGGGTAACTTTATAGGGGAAACCTGACAACCATAACCTCAGCCAGGTGATCAAGGTTAACATCAGTGATAAGTCCTGTTAGTAATATGTACCTTTGATTAAGACGTGATGAAAATGGCTCTTTCTCTCTGTGATTTTCCTCCCCAAATCTCATAAACCCAGTCTATTTACGGGAATATAAGACCAACTCCTGTTGAAGGACCTTCTATGAAATACCTGTCTAGTACTTCAAATCGTCAAGGTCATCAAAAACAAGGCAAGTCTGAGAAATTGTCACAGCTTAGAGGAGCCTAAGGAAAAAAACCTAATGACTAAATGTAAAGTGGTATCCTGAATGGGATTGTGGAACAAAAAAGGACATTAGGAAAAAACTAAGGAAATTTCAATAAAGTATGGATTTTAGTTAATAACATATATCAATATTGGCTTGTTAATGGTAACAAATGTATCGTACTAACGTGGTATATTAATAATAGAGAAAACTGGACGTGGGGTTTCTGAGAACTGTCTATACTATTATCACAAATATCCTGCAAATGTAAAACTGTTCCAAAATAAAAAAGTTTATTTAAAAATTAACCTCAATTTAGAGCTACAGATCCTTATAGTTATGTATTTCCTTCCTGCTTCTTACCAAACTTTGATAATAAAAAAATTCCTTTTAATCCAAGACTCAGCTTTCCTAGTGAATTAAACTAAAATTAGTTTGTTTCTTTGTTTTTTTTTTATCTCTTCAAAAGCTGTCTCAGAAGACACTCAAGAGACTCAGTGACGAAAATTCCTAAGGATTCAATAAATCCATTACAAAACCTGTTATTATCCATCTTATAAAATAAAATGTTAGGTAAAGGCCCAAACTATATAAGCTTAGCTTTTATATTTTTCTCCAAAGTTGATTTGAAAACACATGGATTTCAGATTGAATCCCAGCTTCATCACTTCAGTGTTAAATTAAGCAAATCAATTATGAGAAAAAAATAGCATACATTATGTCCTAATGTCTATAAACTATCATATTGAAATGTTGTTCTTCCCACAGGACCGTGCACAAAATCTGAATGAACGACGAACCACCACCACCACCCTCACGGTGGATATTCTGGATGGAGATGACTTGGGGCCAATGTTTCTTCCTTGTGTTCTCGTGCCAAACACTCGTGATTGTCGCCCAATCACCTATCAAGCCGCCATCCCAGAGTTGAGATCTCCGGTAAATATACTCTCATCTTTTCCCCTTTGCTTCTACCTCTTTAGCCCTAATAGGATCTTGTTCAAGTATTTTGCAGACCAAATGAGTAAGAACAGTGAAATTCTCTGTGTGACTGTTGAATATTATTCATTGCTAAAAACCATTTTCAGAGAGTATGGGTAAATTTTTGGTCACGATGCGTACTTACATCATTTACAAAGTAGAAAGCATGTCCTGAAGGAAGAGTCACTTTGACACTGACTGGCTTATTTTTTCTACTTATAAATCACAACAGAGTTAGTTGCCAATATATTCTAGGAAACTCCACAAAATAACTGCAGCATTTTCCCTTAGTTCATACTTAAAAAATGCAGCCCTAAATTCGAGGATACACAAAGAGGACAATGATACAGGATACTGTCTTAGCCCCTTAGAGTTCTGAAATGTTATTGGAGATTAAGTTTCACTGTTTGGAGGTGGAAGCCAACCAATTATGAATACAAATATCTATTCCTTACAGATGTATATTAAAGAAGCACAAAGGTGAAGCATGAATACATATTTTCTATACTTTGTTCTGCATCCGTTTGTGTGTATTTAATGCTAATGAAGATATAAACTGCTGTCAGCTTGGAATTCACACTTTGAACCTCCCTAGATGATAGATATGTTTACCTAAAAATAAAGAGTTATAAGGCAAACAGATATCCTGCCAAAGCTAAAATATTAATTTCTGCCTTAAGTAGAAAATATTAATTCTCATTTAAGAGAAGTCTAATTCCTGGAAGCCAACAATTTAACTAATTATCTGCCATTTTTGTTCAAAGCATTCTGCTCCCTGAGTTAGTAACAAGTCTCACAGTGCCAGAATTTGTTGGAAGATATGTGATTATTTTTTAAATTATGTGTGAATTGTGTTTTGGGGTCCTTTCTATATTTGAGATTTTGAAGAATAAAACAGGACTTCCTTCTCCTAACCTAAAAGTAAAGTAAGTTATATTGCATTTTACTCACTTCAAAGAGTGCTCACCAAAGTTATTCTCTGTGCTTTACTCATAAAACCAGTTGTCATCTAGTCAATTCCAACTAAAGGCAGCCCTATGTATATTATAGTAAAACTGTGCTCCATAGGGTATTCAATGGCTGATTTTTCAGAAGTTCATTGATAAAACTTTCTTCCAAGGCACCTCTGGGTGGATTCAAACCTCCAATCTTTTGATTAGCACCTGAGCATGTTAACTGTTTGTACCACCCAGGGACTCAATAGCAATAGATCTGAAAAGCAACTTGAGAATCACTTTTGTTAGTCTAGATTCTCTAACTGGCTAGCATAAAACAAAAAAATTTGGAGGGAAAAAAAGAATAAATGTTATGAGGTTCATGTAAGGAAGAAAACATAAATTTCAGATAATAAGTAATATTGCATACAAAAAGGGGTAAAGCAGAACTTATCTGTACAAACAAATGTAGATTACCTAAAGTTATATGTCACAGTATCATTTTATTCAATCTCAAAAGGAAGACTGTTAAAGATTATGAACATTAATTTTTTCTTTATAAAGGCTTAATTGGAAACATGAGGGAAAATATATATTTTTTAGTATCAACTTACGTTCCTGTGTATTCTACATAGATGATGTGCTAGTGAGACAAGAGAAGGTATACATTGATACTATAATAATTCGAATCTAAAGAAATGTATAAGAATTTACTGATACATTGCAGGAAGCGAATGACAATACACGCTGCAGCTTGAGAAACAGAGTATATTGATTTTATCTTTATAAAGAATCAGTTGATTTCTCTTCCAACACAGGCACCTAAAATTAAGTTAATAGAAATGCTTAGCTTTAAAGAGATCACTTAATATTACGGTCACTATATTGATTCCCACACCATTTATATTGAGTTGTAATAACCATATACAGGCAGATGAGTGTCTCATTTTAAATGTTGCTTTGATTATGCATGGGGTTTTTTTCTTCCTTGCTTTTTAAATATGGTCGAGCCATTCCTTAACATCTGTGAAACAAGAGGGTTTTAGTTCTATTATTATAGTTTTATATTATTTAGTTCTATTTAACTAATTGTGGCATATATTTATTCATTAAGAGGCATAGTTTTATTGTCATGTAGAAGAAAATTAAGTATATTTACTTGTTAAATTAGGTACTTGTTCTATCAATTGCTATGTAACAAACCACAAAACTTAGTGGCTTAAAGCAACAACAATCCTTTATTTTGCTCATGAAGTTGCAGTTTTGGCAGGACTTAGAGGAAATGCTTATATCTGACCCACACATCGTCAGCTGAGGCATCTTGCGGATGGCCGGGTGCCACTTACAGGATGATTTACTTACATGCCTAGAATGTTAGTTTTGCCTGTTGGCTTGGAGCTCAGCCAGGGCTGTGGGCTAGTGGCGTCATTTCCACTGCATGTGGGCCTCTTATAGGCTGTTTGGACTTCCTCACAGCAAGGTACTGAAATTCAAAGCAAGCTTCCCAAGAGAAGTAAGCAGAAACTGTAACACCTTTTATGACCCAAGAGAAATAGAAGCTGTATTACCTTTTATGAATAGTCCTGTAATTTCATAGTGTTACTTCAACTGTAATCAAAACTCTGCCAGATTTAAGGGCTAGGAGTATAGACTCCACCTCCTGATGGGAGGAGTGCTCGGTCACATTTTAAGAAGAGAATATGAAGAAAAAAATTGTGGCAATCTTTGGAAAATAAAATGAGTCATAGTACTGGAACGATGTTTTCATACACTCTTTTTCAACATTGCCATTTGGATTCCCTCTGGATCACTAGCTCTAAGAACTTGAGCTAGTTTTTTAGTTTCATATATAAATTGCTGTGTTTATTTCAGTCCTTTCATTTTTATTTTCTTTTTCTATTTTCCTTTATATACTCAGCTAAAATGTCTACAAATTGCAATAAGTAAGATCTTGCTATTCAGAGAGAGAACTAATGATTTATGTCAGCTAAACAGGATATGATGACTCTAATTACATACTTGCTAATCTTTTCCTGAACTAATTCTTCAAATTTTGAAAGCTTTGACACCTGTTTACCTTCTGTGTTGATGTGAAACTTTCCGCCACTTATCTCAGTGGTATTCTTGACTTGAGAGATCATTCTTAACCCCACTCCAATGCATGAAGAATTTATCAGCTCAGAAACTTAAAAAAATGATAGTATAGTACAGTATTTAACTCATAAACTAGAATATAATAAAAATAAAACCTACTATATGTTGAAATTAAATAATCATGTTTTAAAATAAACACATACATGTAGATTATATATACTTTTCTTGTATCAAAAGCTGTCTCCAGCAATAATTATCTTTACAAAGACTAAGATTAATATTGTATTAAATATGCAAAGATATAAATTTGGTGTTCCAAGGGAATTAAAGGAGTCACTAGTCCTGTGCTAATTGTTATCTATTCATTAATTTGACAAGTACTGACTGGACCCTTTTGATGTTAGTTGCCGCTAAGTCAGCTCCAACTCATGGCTACCTTATATATAACAGAATGAAATGTTGCCTGGTTCTCTGCCGTCTTCATGATTATTGATATGTTTGAGTCCATTGTTGCAACTATTAGAACTGTTTAGTGCCTCCCAACCTAGGAGACTCATCTTTCAGCACTATGTCCTTCTGTCAGTTTGTTGTACAGTGATGGCTTGCATGTTGCTATGATGCTAGAAGCTATGCCATTGGTATTTCAAATACCAACATGGTCATCCATAGTGGAGAGATTTCAATGGGGCTTCCAGACTAACACAGACTAGGAAGAAAGGCCTGTTGATCTCCTCCCAAAAATTAGCCAATGAAAATCTTATGGATCACAATAGATTATTATCTAACTGGACCCTAAAATAGACAAACTCTATGCTAATTGAGTAGCCTAGGCAACTAGGATAAGATAAAATCCTTCCAAAATATATTACTTGGTAAATTTATTCTCACTTTCTGACTACCTTAAAGTTGTTATTATGCATATAAGATTGAAATTTTCTGATACTATGGAAAAAATCTGGAGAATTGGAGAATATAGAGGTCAAGTGTCTATTTTCCACTGAAGCACAGACAAAGACACTGTAAACTCATACATTTCTTTATTTGAACACTAGTGTACATTTGTTTAAGGATGCCTGGTGGTGCAGTGGTTAAGAACTCGGATGCTAACCGAAAGGTTGGCAGTTCAAACCCACAAGCTACTCCACGGGAGAAAGATGTGACAGTCTGCTTCTGTAAAGATTAGAGCCTTGGAAACCCTATGGTGCAGTTTTACTCTGTCCTGTAGGGTTGCTATGAGTTGAAATCGGCTCAACAGCAACAGGGTTGTCAGGGCGGTCATTGGTGGTAGCCGGGCACCTCAAAGTATTTCCTTGTCTGCCTGCTTTCTAAGTCTCATCTCTTCTAACTCTCATAATGCAAACGATCTAGACACAGAAAGTTTTGAATGTTTCTGAACTTCCCTGAGTATTACCCTCCCTTTGCTCTAGTTTTATATATGAACCTTATATTTGTTATTTAAGACTCAACTCTGTGGACCTGAAATGATAGCCCTAAGAAATTAACAGTTTTTGTCTGTGTTCCCATGTATTTTTACGATGAGTATTGAACTTCTTATTGTATGATAGCTGTTTAGCTTGTTCTCTTTTACTCGACTACAAATTGTTTATGTGTGTATTTGTCATTATATGCTAATGCATAGACCACTGGCTTCATATAGTAAATGTTCAATGAATGTTGAAATGAATTAATTCATTAAATCATGTTTCCAGAAATATATATTGTTCACCTATGCATTGGATATAAATATGAGTAAGCATGGCTCTTGCCCTCATGTTGACAATGAGTATGCTAATCACAAATATGCATACTTAAAGAGTGTGTATATATTTGGGTGTATAATTATTTGTTATATATTATAAAATATACTAGTCATTAAATATATGTGTATATATCATATATCCACATGAATATATATTCATATATATGTAT